AATATTTCAGAAGTTATAAATACATTAAAATTTTGACTAGAAATAAGGTTTGCGTTATGGTATTTTTATAACTATATTTTTCTTGGCCTCACTCCTCTTCTTGCTGCCAAGGCTTTTGCTTCTTCCTTCCTCATTTTACTTCATAATTTATTAACTTTGCTTAATTTCAATTTTAGTGTTATGGTACACACGGTACTCCTTTGAATTTCATCATGAAACCAGTAAGTATAAACTATATACTACAATTACTAATACTTATTCAAAATGTTTATTAGCAAATTAATCGTCTTATTATAACTAGAAACTAGCATTTGAAGCTTTGAAAAATTCTATAAAATATAAAGGAATAAAATGTTAAACAGGTAAGACTAATGAAAATCTAAAAATTGAACCTAAATTATTGAAAGATGTTGTTTTATCAAATATTTCTTTTTGAAATAGGTTCAAATAATGTGGCAATGACTTAATAATTTAAACTATCGAAATTATAATCAATATATAAGTATAAATGGTATTAATAATAATATTATAGAGGAGCTTAAATATTTCTCTCGTGATTAAAATAAAGTCTTTAAATTGTATTAGGAAATAGTTTTATAATTGTATATAATCATTAAATTACTATAAACTGTTATTATTATTAGATATTTTTCCCACCATTGTAAATATAATGTTTGTCAATAATTTTAAATATTATAATACTAAAATCATATTAAACATAATGTCTTCTGTCTTAAAACGTGTTTACACATATGGTTGTGTTAAAATAAATTGATTTTTTGTCTAATTGTCACTGATATCGAATATTTAAAATAAATACTGTATATATTTTATTATTAAGAGTAAAATTTATTTCTTAAAACAGTGATATTGCGAAACCTGATTTTCAAACCTAAAAAGAAGGTTTAAAATTAAAACTGATTTTTAACATAAATTTTTATAATTTTCAATATTCTTCAACAAAATTTAGTACAATACTTGATTATACTAGTTCTATTTTAGTAGATGTGGCTAATATGATACGTTGTATTTCGGAATTAAATATATTAATACACAATGTGTATTCAAATATTAGTTATCTATTATCAGACTAATAAAAGTAATATATGTAGCAGGAAAAATAATTTATACTATAATGACAATTACAATAAAATTATTACAAAATTAATGAACATAAATAAAAAATGAAAATGATGATAAGTACAAATAAAATAATATCTAATTATAATAAAAAACGTTCATTAAAAATGAATAAAAAAACTGTTACTAAATAGTTACATATCAAATTATCGAATCTTTAATGATCACAGTTATTAAAATGTCTTTTCCTTGAACTTCAATTTCAAATTCACCAATTTAATTTTGAATCTATTTCATCACAATATTGCTACCCAATATGCTTTATAGCTTCATAAAAAAAATTAAAAACCAAGGATCAATAACTCATCTGGGCGAGTTTTAGAGCCGAATAATGTTGGAATTAACATATAAATTAAAATTGATTACCGAAACTAATTTAATATTTTTTAGAAATAAAGTTAAGATTAAAAAATTTGATTCTTCTTATCTTCTTTTTCCTCGCATTAATCCCAAATACTTGGGGTCGGCCACCCTTATCATTGACTTCAAATTGACACGATCACTCACATCAACTACGCTCGCATCAGCCGTCCTCATATCGCATTCAATTATATTCCTCAATCTCTTTCATGATAATTCTTTACCTCCCCTTCCTTCAACATTCATTACTATAAGTGCTGTTCTCATCGCTACCGAATCCTCTTTCATCATAAGATTAAAAAATTTGATTAGGTTGATATATTCGATTATATAAAAATAAATAAATAAAAATATTTATATATATACATAAAGAGTTTTGAGTAAGTTAAGAAACGGTCAATTGACTAAAATCACAAAAATAAGTTTTTTTTGATAGTGATTCGATTTAGTTGTTTCGATGCAATGTTACAAATTATATGTACATATACATATATTTATAAGTGTAATATATTAATAAATATATAATAAATTTAAATTTATTTATTATTATTTAATATTTAATAAATTTGACGGCCATTTGCACATACAAGATAGGTCGACGAGACAATTTTTTTAACTTATAGTACATAATATAAGTTTTAATTTAACATATGTTTAAAGAACATAGTATTTCCGAAAATTTGTCAAAAGTTAAATTGAAAAAGTTCTGCTTTTTATACTTTTTTACTGTTAAATAAATTAAACAGTTCATATACTTTTATGTTTCTTTAGCGTTCGAGTACTCAGCATAGCCTAAAAAGTGTAAAATATGTATTATTTGCACTCAATGAATTCATATTTTAACAAAACAAATATGAATGTTTTTTCGATTATTTTCGAATATATACATCTAAATAAATATATACAAATGTTTGAATGATCGTAAAGTTGGATTTTAAAGCGATTATATAAGACATATTTTATTCAATTGTAGGAAATTAAATTTTTAAACCAGTGAAAATTTATAGTTTTTAACATACCCATTTTTAATTGAAAAAAGGATTTAATTTATAAAAACTATGTCTATAATACATTTATTAGTTTTCGTATTATCAATTAATAATACTTTTGGTATAAAAAATAGGAGCATTTTCGCAAAGTTGAATGACATGTTGGAATATCCAGTTTGGAAATCAATCCAGGTAGCTATTCAAGAATTTCCTGATCTATCAATTATTGTTTATAACAGCAATAACATGTCAGTTCCTGTATTTTTATCTGAACTGATTCCCACTTATAGAAACGATGTTTATAATAAAAAACCTGTTAATAGTAGAAATTATAGTACTAAATTACGACAATTTCATTTATTATTGAGCGTTTTATTTGCATTTGAGTTGATGGACTTCATGACTTTATCAATACACTTATGCACTTTAAAAAATATACAAGACAATGAAAGTTCAAAGGATTTAAATTTTAAACAAATTATAATGATTGTTGTACCCACATTAACAACGATGCTAAATATTTTGAAATATTTTGATAAATTAATTAAGAATTCTAAAGGTGAAATAAAAAATTATTCAAATGAATTAAACAATGTACTTAATAAAATGATTATTTATACAAGAATAAATCCAATAACATCAACTATTATTGATTTCAATCCAGAAGTCATACTACAAAATATTAAACAATTTATTATAGATTATTATGAGCGATATTTTTTTGCGGATAATATAAAAAATCGTGAACCAATTATTTTGAAATCTGATTCAATTGAATCTATAGAAAAAAAAATTGAAAATCATAAAATATTAATGGATAAAGTAAATGAAAACCTTGGTTTTGATATCAGTGAAAAACACATTGTTCGAATAAAAGAAACACCGGATTGGGATGATATATTGATTAATGAGGTTACAGATTACTTTAAAAAACAAATAATAAGTTTACCCCCCCCTGTATACTATTTGTCAGATAACGAATCTGATACAAAATAAAATCATTGTCATTTATCATTAAATAAAACTGTATTGATTAAAACATAATCATTTAATATATATCTATATGTTATGTATACTTTTAGAATATTACTTAACGTAATAATTATAAGATACTTTTACTAATTAATATAAAAATAAAAAAACAAACTGTGTTTTTATTTTATTTTAATAATACTCAGGGGTCATTGTATTGATAACTAATAATGTAATACATCTCAAATCTTCCAACAGTGTTTAAATTTTTTGTCGTTTCTGTAAACTAAAATAAAATAAAAATAAAAAGTGTTTTGTCAATTGATTCTAAATTAATAGTCATAAGCTTGGCGAATGATATAAGTATATACTCATATATTATTTTTAACGCTTTAAAAAATTGTTATTTCAGGTAAAAAATAAGTTTTTTTATTATTGGTACACTTAATGTAATTAGAGCCAATCATTTAGATTTTGCCTCATACTAGTTTTAAGGTAAACATTACAATAATTACAGAGGCGTGCACTGAATGTTGGTTGGTGTTTGCTACCAAAGTAAAAAGAACTCCCTAAAAATGTTATTTTTTTATCATTGATAGAAAACTTGTGTGACAGGCTAATTTTTATTTCTTCTTCCTGAATAATTCAACACAAAACAGCGCGGCTACGCATGCGAATGTAAACACACTACTAACCTAATAATTTGAATGTCAAATCACAGCCTCTTTAAACATATAACAAAAAATTAAATAATCTACTAAATATCATCTGACACAACATCACAGACGATAAAACAAAAAAATAAAGGGGGAAATTCTATAAAGCATATTCAAATAATACGGTGATAGAACACACACACAAGAAAGTAATAAAATGAATAAAATAACCGATACAAGTGTAAATTAGTGACGGCAGCTGTTTATTTAAATAGCAACGCCAATATATAAGTGTATATTGAACAATGTAGTATAGAATATGTATATATGTATCTACAATACATGTATATATGCTACCGAAAATCATAAGTCAGATTGATTATTATAATCAGGGTGATCGTCGCGACAAAACAAAACGCATAAACAGCAATACACAATTGGCAAACGGCCTTGTCACGATGTCAAAGGCACGATATTATATCAGCTACTCTCACATATTAAAAAAAAAAAAAAAAAAATACTTATCATTACATTAAACAATATGGATATTCATTCTTTTTATTTTTACATAGTAAATATCTGGTTGTTCATGATCTATTTATTGCAAAAAGGGACTCGTTTAATTTATAATATTTTCTTTAGGCAAAATCTAACTTAGCATTTTTCTTAAAAAAAAAAAGGGGGAACAACCTAATTAATATCATAAGTATTTTTCTCTTCTTTCACATTATATACACAACACAATAATACATATTTGAATAAACACTATACACATAATAACAATATTTCTTATCTTAAAATTTAACTTCAAATATCAAACAAAGATACATCATATTTTTTATCATAAGAAATAACACACAATCAAAAATATATATATATATATCACTTCTACAACAATGTAAATTAAATGAAAATTCTCCACATTTTTTGTTAATAAGATAACATTTTTACAAAAATTTTTTTTCTATTACTTACAATAACTCATATAAACAAACATTATAGAGTTGTGACTACCACAATTTCTCTTAAAGTAACAACATTACATCATTAATACACATATATCAAGAAAAGTTATTTTATAATTCTGTTCTGTGTTATTATAGTATGGACCCATCTTGTCATGGGATTTATTTTGTAAAAAACACTTTCTGGAGGAAGGTCCAAAAAGTATGCGACATAAAACAGCTATGCCCCAAATGTTCCCTTAACGAAAATCATCGAAAAACTGTGGTACATAATTATCACCTCTCGAAATATAATTATCAGTGGACTCAGGATGTGATCCATTATTTTAAATCGAGACCAATATCGTTTCTGGCTAGGGAAATAGCTGACTATGCTGGGTGCGATGTGGAGTTGGATATGAGGAGGTGGTATAATGCTACGTTCAGACCCGGTTTACCATCAGATGAAGGACATACATATTGGGAAGGGGGATTAATTAGTAGAAGTTTAACTAAAAAACGCAATAAAAAATATAAATACCCAATCACAACAAAAAATTATTGGAATCATATAATTTTCTTGATACTTATAAAAAAAGCTAACATAAATTTTACAGATTTGTCTATTCTAAATAAATATAACCTACTTACCGAAAAAAAAGGATCTGTTTCTAATGACCC